CTTACCTTGGCGCCGGCGGGGGACCGCGATGGCTGCCTTCGGCGGGCGTCAGTGTGGTGACACGCGATGGCGGGCGTCGACGAGTGTTGGCAGGCATTGGCGTCGTCGTCAGAGCTGCAGTCGACGTGCGGACACGGGCGAATGGAGGCATCGGGCGGGGTAACGTGGAACATTCGCGCGAGGAAAACAAAAAGGGGGGCCGGTAGTTCCCGCGTGAGGAATTCAAATCGTGGACCATCTGGGCCGTCGATCTTGGTGATCGACGGAGCAGATCGGCCCCAATTTCAAATTCTAGAAGTCGGGCCTACCGGCCCCCTTTTTTTTTTCGTTGGCCTGGACGGCCTCCTTTGGGGGCAACCCCCCCCCCCCCGACTCGAAATCGGCCGAACCGCCCCCACCTTCTGTGATGCGCTGGGGTTGCCCGGTGGCCAACCGGGCGGGACAACCGGCCAGGCAGCCCGCCCCCAGCCCCGGGCGACGACCCGGTCGCAGGGCGGCCCGGGGACCAACCTAGAAACAAACAGAACGACACAGCATTTGGAAAAGGAGGGATGTGAGGGGGAGTGGAAGGGGAAGAGGGGAGAAGCATATGGGAGAGTGTCACAGTCCTCACCGCAGACCTCACTGAGGCAAAACTACACTACCAATACCCCCAACGCTTGAAAGCTTAGCCGAGCCTGCGCCAGGCCCGGGCCCTCTACTAGGCCTTCCGGTAATCAGGGTCACAGAGACCAAAATGCTGAAAAGATGGGCCACCACGGGCCCTTGCAGCTGACCTGTGCCAAGCCTATGTGCATCCCTGAGAAATCCGCAGGGAGACTTTCAGGGGCATCGAACCGCTAGTGCATGAACCACCAGTACACCTGAGTCAGTGTCACACTTTTTCTCGTTTTTTGGATGGCTCCGCAGCCATCGTGTCCAGTAGGCCTGAGTCTCAAAAACTTTTTTTTCTTTTTCTTTTTGGGAGTCTCAAAAAATTTCGGAGTGAGCCATTCTGTCATCTCACATGGCCTGGAGCCATGTACTGGCAGCTTATGATGCGCCCGAAACGTCCTCGCAGCATGATGTCCTTGAGGTGGAGATGTGGGGGACCACCCCTAGGCAAGATCGGCATGTTCTGCCACATGCTGTTGGATATGTGATTGTTGCACATTGATTACGGCAGAGGTTCAGGAACCATATAGAAAAAAACAAAAAACAAAGAAAACACGAAGGAATCATATGACCCCAATCACAGGAGCAAGGGGCCTCTCATGTCTTGTGCCCAACTGCCCCCCTCTCTTGAACCACCAGTTCACACGAGCCTAAAGTTGACGAATTCCAAGCCTACCGTAGCGACCCTGAGACTGCGCCTTTTACAAAGTGACGTACCACATTCACTACAGGCCCCGGCCCGAACCAAAAAGCTCTTACCGTGTACTACCGGTAAGAGCACTTTTCCGCTTCAGGTGAACTGCCAGTCTAAAGTCGAGAAGACAATCTCGCTTGCTTCCCACCCTGTGCGCATACATCCGTTACGACGACCATACATGCCAAATAAATATGGATATCCCCACACACTTAGTCACACAGCCATTTCTCATACATGCAAGTCGATGCGCTGACGTCGAGTTACAGATGTTAAGCACATTTAAATGATTTAATAAACCAATAAATATTAAATAGTAAGAATATAGTAACTTTATACATCAGCATATCATCCAGCAGGAGAACTTGCAATCACAAAACTGACTGAGTCCTGAATCATTCACACAATGACACACATGCGCACCATTATGATGCTAACAAATGATTTTGAAGCAAAAAAATAAAGCGGGGCGGGGGGG